AGGAAACCAGAAGGGGCCCCAGAAGGGGGGGCGGGCCCGCCGGCGGAGGCAGCCGGCTGCTTTCCGCTGCCGCCTGCCCTTAGCAAAAGAAAACGAAAAAAAAAAAAGAAGACGAAAAAGAGGAAAAAAAAAAGGCAAGCATATGCGCCTGCGCCCGGTTGGAAAGCCTGTGACCGGCCGTTTGCGGTCGTCGGGGTGAGGGAAAGCACAGCGAGGTAACAGGAATAAAGGCATCGCTTTACCCTCTCTTCCCTTTTGCCCCTAGAAAACACTGAACTGGTTTTTATGGGCTGGATCCTTGTTTTTTAGAGACTGAAAAATAATCTTCTACAGGAAGGCAAGACCCCCACATGCTCTGGGCAAGTGCTTGCTAAGCTGCTAGCATTAGTATAGCTTGGGAACGTCAAAATGAGAAGCCTGCCTGACTGCCTCGTAGCAGGGAAGTGAGCATCAAAGGATAAGTCTCACAAAGGGGGCCAGCGGGTTGCAGAGCTGAAAGCACCCACAGTTCAGAAGTGCTGCTAAACATGACAACTCCGTATGCAAACCTCCCTCTAACCACTAGTGTATAGAGTGGATGCATCCAGCTGTTTACAGATTCATAAATCTCATATTCAAATAGACAACTAACAGGTACTGCCTCAATACAAGATACCTGCTTTCCAAAGCCATGGCAGCACAAGACCACTGAGTGACAGGCTTACAGTGGAAAGTTGTGTGGAGGGAGGCAGAAGGAAGCACTGCTGCTGGCATCACATTTTCTACTCTGTTCTAAGTCCACCTTTACTCTCAAGTACTTAATATTCTTTCTTTTCTTTCCCTCAAGTCTTCTCTTTTTTCTATTCCACCCAGTTCTAAAGAGATTCTAGGAAATCTCATTTGAAACATCCCCTGTACCACCATGATGTAGTATCGTTGGCCATTGTCCTCTCAAAGGGCCCTAGGATAGCAAAGACTTGCATTTGGACTTTTAGTATTAACCCTATGCAGTATTAACCCTGTGCAGGACCAGGGAAATGCCACACTCAGCTGAAGGTTATCCACCCCTAGCTGCGGAAATGTCAAACAACTGGGAGAGGACACTGTCTATGGCAAGAAAAGACAGGTGAGTAAGGCCTAAGTGGCAGCATCAGTCACCTCTCCATTCTTTGTACGTCTTCCTGTGCTGTGAACAAAGCAGGAGCTCTCACACCTCTCTGTACCTGAGCTCAGCTTCCACAGAAAGGCACATCAGCCCTCAATTACAAAAGAACAGAAATAACTACTAGTGAGTTTAATATTAAAATGAGCAAATGGGTAGGTTAAATTTTCCCCTTGAACATGCTTTTTGTCCTCCCAGGGGAGCCCAGATTTCCTAGAACTGAGAACTCAAACCTTCCTCTCCAAAACCCCCAAAATTATCCTTCTCCCTCCAACCACCTGGAAAGCCAGTATTTCCAGGCAGAGACCCAGGCCACCCTGCACCTTAGCTCTGTGCATACCCCCAAGTGCCACATCCACACTTCAAGAGCACATAAATAGCTCAAAATAAATAAATCACATACACAATTACAGAATTGGTCTGGTAATGAGCCTGGAATTCTGGTTTGACCATATACCTTCCAGCTCCTTATTTGGTATGGGAACAAAGGACACTGACTCTTCCTGTTCACCTCTATAAAGTAAGTGAAGTTGGTTAATTTGCAGCCTAATGATGTGGCAAACAGCCTGCTTTGAATTCTTAGGGATCACTTTTGTTTTTGTTTATCCAGTCTGCGGCAGTAAGAAGATCCCTTAGGGCTTAATTTCCTTGTGTGTAACAGTGTGGAAGTGTCAGCCTTCAAGCTAGTCACCCAGCTCACCCTGCAGAGATGGGCCAGTAGCAGACACAGCAGAGACCATTTCATGCTCAGCAGCTGACTTCAAGAAGTCCCTGTTAGAGCTTTCACTCTACCAGTCATGAGTGATTTCAGTACTCAAGCTCTGTCTATCACAGAGAGAGTGTGTTCAGGGACTCAAAAATCAGTGTTGCAACTGGGTAGGAGACACCCTGCCGTGCAGAAACCCAGTCCTGTGCTTTGTCTGAGAGCAAGAGGGAAACAAACTCCTTGCCTTGCAGATTGACACGCTGCTTTTAAAGCTGGCACAGGGAAAAAGCAGCTGCATACAGGAGGTGGGATGGCACTTACTGAGCAGGGTGGCTCCAGACTGGGTTCTGCAGAGAGTGGGCGCCAGTCCCACCATCCTGGAGATGCACCTGGTGAAAGCAGGGGGCTCTCCCAGGCTTGCGTCTGCCTTTATGTTTGCAGGGTGGTGGTACAGCAAGCCAGGCTGTGGCCTGTTGAACCTCTCACCCCTGATGTCCATGGTGGCTGTTTTATACTGCTCTTGCACTTGGTGTCTGGGTGCTGCAGCACAAGCGGTGGGTTGCGGTGGCTGGGAGGGTGCAGCATTATGTCATGTGAGAACAAGCCACAGCGGCGGGAATGCCTTAACCTGTTCTTGCTGCAGCAAATCATGGTGCTGAGCAGTTTCTTGGAGATCTTTCTAGGCCAGGCTGTAGGAAAAGTGTTAGTTTTTCCCTCTGAAACTCTTGTGGTGCTTGGAAGGATCCCCAGGTGACCCGACAAATCCTGCTTTAGAGTGCAGTCCAGCAGCTGAAGGAGGGAATGCTGCTACTGTGGTTCATTACTCACATTTCACTGCCATTTTCAAAGCAGAGCCTGTGGCTGTGGTCCTCAGCTTTAAATTTTGCAGGCCGAAATTTTTGCAGGTTGCCAGCTGTAGATTTTCCCCAGGATAACCACCTGGAGATTGCCAAGCAATTGTCCATATGGCAGAGAGTGAAGACCACAGGTGGTCTTGAGGCCAATGGCCAGCCTTAGCCCAGAGTTAAACTGATGGGAGCACAAGGAAAGAAACTACCAGGCGTGGCAAACAGGTGTTTGGCCAACCCTGACTTGCCCCTGGAGTAGTAAGGCAGCAATGGGAGAAACTACCAGAGAAAAGGGTGGAAGGATTCTATCAGGGAGCCTGAGGGTGACAAATGACAGAAGATGTTGAACAAGGGGGAATTGCTCATTTACTGGTGTTGCTGAGCATGGGTGCAGAATCAGCAAATAAGGGTGCTGAGTGAGCAGGACAGGGGCAAATGAGGAAAACATGAATGAGGCAGGTTGTTTATTTCAGGGGGGAAAAGCAGGGGAAAGGGAATATCAGGTGAATGGCCTTTTACTGGGTAGACTGAGCATGTAAGACCAGTTACTGTAGGGACCTACAGAGTGTTTGTGTATATGTACACAATGGTCCTTAGCCCAGTCACAGGTGCCCACTGAGCACATGTTTAACTACATTTCTGAATTCTGGTGGTTCCTAGAACATCAGAAAATTAAGTAAAAACATCTACTGAATCATGTTAGAAAGTTTTCACCAAAATATCACCCCTCATCCCTAAAGAATACTCAAGCCTTACACTGCAAATAAATTGCTCCATACTTCAGTAAAAATAAACGATTTTAAAAATGCATTTTAACAAGTACTGTTAAATATAACCTTTTTCATAACCCATTAGCACTTTCCTCTTGCTTGACTGAGTCCTCTGAGCACTTACAAAATTCCCAACACTTGGTGGAGACACTAGCTGGCCAACGGTTAAAACCAAGCAAAATAAGCACCGGTGTTTATGGAAGTTTTTTAAAATACTCACACATATGCACCCACACTTTTTCCTCTACTTGGAACAACAAAAGCAGCTTGGAAGTGCAGTGTTTGCTGAATGCTTAACAGCCCTAGGGAGGACATAGCTTTGTGTCTCCAGTCTTGTAACAGCTTATGAGCACATGACTTAGTTCACACAAATGCTTCCACCAAAGAGGATGACTTAACATGCCCAAAGCAAAGTATTCGCATGGCACATATCGAAGCACCCTACCTAAGAGGCATTCTCACTAGTTACAGGGATCTCACCCAAGAGCCTGAGTTCAATGGTAGGTGTATTATGGAGGAAAAGGAAAAGGCAGCAGACGTAAATCCTTTGCATGAACATTGTTTGCTGATAATTACGCTCCTTGACACATGTTTTCGTATGTAAGACAACCAGCGGCAACTGGGAACTCTGTAACTTAATCATGGAAGAAAAATTTCGAGTACCAGTGGAGAAGAAACACCTCCCACTCTCCAGGTAAAATAGTCCTTACAGACCAGCACACCTAGTTGCGGTGAACGGGAATGGCCAGGAGATGGCGCTCACTTTCTGTAGGTACTTCCAAGGTTTGACTACCCCCTGGTACAAAGTCTGTAAAGAGAAATGCTTTAAAATATTGTACTGGCTAACGTTTTTTAAAAGGCAAGAAAAAAGCCTAAAGCAGACCTCAAACTATGACTTCTAACCAAACCCAGTACCATGGCTGTTCTTCAGAAGTTGAGATTTCTGCTGAATATCTAATGCATATCTCCTAGGTGTCAGGTACTGAATATTCCTGCTCAGAAAGAACTCCAATAGCCACTTTCAGGACTTGTCTGAAGCAGCCACATTCAGAGTTAACCCTTTCCTGATATACTTCTTCCTCCAGATACCCTTGGTAAAGTTCCATTGACTTATCAGAGGTGAGGCCTGCCCCATAGTTTTTTAGTACCTTGCTTTTTCTCATTGGAATTGAGGTCAGAATCAGGCCTGAAATCAGAACAGTTGGGGTTTTTTTCCCCAACTAGACCTTAGACAGCAGCAAACCCCTGATGAAACTCACTAATACATTGCAGTTATGGCCAACACAAACCTTAATAAAAGATAGGAATAAGAATTAAATCTCAATCAGAAAGAAATATTGGTAACATTTTCCCTTTGTAGAAAAAATATTACAAGTTTGTAGTTGTATACAAGGAAACTTGCAACCCA